TGCAGCTAAAGCTAAAATCAACAAAACTGCAGCTAAAGCTAAAATCAACAAACCTGTACATAAAGCTAAAATCACCAAAACTGCAGCTAAAGATAAAATCCACACAACTCTAGCTAAAATCCACACAACTCTAGCTAAAATTAAAATCAGCAAAACTGTAGCTAAAGTTAAAATCTGAAAAATTGCAGCAAAAGCTAAAATTGGCACAAGGGTAGCCAAAGCTAAAATCTACAAAACTGCATCTAAAGCTAAGATTAGCAAAACATTAGCTAAAGTTAAAATAAACAAAACCGCAGCTTTAGCTAAGATCATCAAAACTGCAGCTAAAGCTGAAATCTGTAAAAATGCAGCAAAAGCTAAAATAAACAGAACTGCAGCTAAAGCTGAAAATGACACAAGGATAGCTGAAGCTAAAATCAACAAAACCATAAGTAACAGCCAGAATCAGTAAAATTGGCTACAAACGAGTAGCAAAACTGTAGCCAAATTTAGCAAAACAAAAAGCCTAAAGTAAACAACTGTTGCTTAAAGCCAGAATTATCAAGACAATAGTTAACACTAATATTAACATTATAATAAAAAAATAGTAAGTACACTCATGCAGATTTGAAAAAGAACTGTTTTTGAAGGAACTGAAAAGATCTTGTATTTATAGGGACAATTGTTATGACTATTGTTATGACTACATGTGGTGGAGCGAAATTATGTACACAGGGTCCCAGTTATATCCAACAATAAAATGTAAAAGAAAAACAGTAACAACATCTAAGATATGAACTAAGAAAAACTCAACTAAAAATACACTAAGCACCCATAACATAAAACATTGAACATCAGCACAAACATGAACATGAGTCTGTGTGAGCAGATGAGCACGCATGAACACATCAACATTGAAACAGATCAGCAGCAACATTGAAACAGACGAGCAGCAACATGAAACAGATCAGCAGCAACATTGAAACAGATCAGCAGCAACATTAAAACAGATCAGCAGCAACATTGAAACAGACCAGCAGCAACATTGAAACAGATCAGTAGCAACATTGAAACAGACCAGCAGCAACATTGAAACAGATCAGCAGCAACATTGAAACAGATCAGCAGCAACATGAGACAGACCAGCAGCAACATTGAAACAGATCAGCAGCAACATGAAACAGACCAGCAGCAACATTGAAACAGATCAGCAGCAACATGAAACAAACCAGCAGCAACATTGAAACAGATCAGCAGCAACATGAAACAGACCAGCAGCAACATTGAAACAGATCAGCAGCAACATGAAACAGACCAGCAGCAACATTGAAACAGATCAGCAGCAACATGAAACAAACCAGCAGCAACATGATGTGATTTTTTTCACAGTGATTATTCTGGTTAGAGATTCATGAGTCTAACAGCCTCAGGGTAGAAGCTGTTCCTCAGTCTAGTGGTTCTACACTTAATGCTCCTCAACCTCCTTTCTGAGGGGAGCGGGAAAAAAAGTGTGTGTGCTGGGTGAGTGTGGTCCTTCTTGATGCAGGTGGCCCTCTTCCTGCATCTGGAGGTGTAGATGTCTGTGATGGTGGGGAGACTGACTCCAACATTCTTCTGTGCAGCCTTCACCACTCTCTGCAAAGCTTTTCTTTCTGCAGCTGTGCAGCCTCCATGCCACACGTTGATGCTGGAGCACAGGATGCTCTCCACTGCACACCTGTAGAAGGAGGTGAGGACAGAGCTTCCCAGACCAGCTTGTCTCAGCCATCTGAGGAAGTAGAGTCTCTGAGGAGCTTTCTTGATCAGGCTGGTGGTGTTGTTGCCCCAGCTGAGGTCGTCATTCATGTGTACACCCAAGAACTTGTAGCTGGAGACCACTTCCACCACAGATCCTCTTATGTTCAGGGGGGTGTAGGTGTTTTTGTTCCTTCTGAAGTCCACAATCATCTCCTTTGTCTTCTTCACATTTATGTGAAGGTTATTCTCTCTGCACCAGCTCTCCAGGTGTTCCACCTCTTGCCTGTAGCTGGACTCATCATTGTTTGTGATGCATCCCACCACCGCTGTATCATCTGCAAACTTTACATTTGACAGCCTGGATGGGTAGCTGCACAATCATACGTGAGCAGAGTAAACAGGAGGGGGCTCAACACACATCCCTGAGGAGAGCCACTGCTCAGGGTTATGGTGGAGGAGGAAAAGTTGTGGATCCTCACTAACTGGTCTGTTTGTAAGAATACGCTAAACTAAGAATACGCTAAACTAAGAATACGCTAAGCACCAGTAGTACAGAAACAATACGCCAAACAGCAGCAACACATACATTACTGATTGAGTTGAATGTTTTTATATATGAATGATTAAAGTAGCACAAAACATGCTGGAAAAGTTTGATTGCAAAAATCGTATGAAAGAAACCATAAACAAGAACACAACAATGTGTTGGACTCACCATTTTTACAAAATAGCTTTTTTGTTGTTGCCTTCTACCTGAATCAGAAAAGTTTTTTAAGAAGTAAATGCCTCCATGAAATGAAAGATACAAATAAAACCAGATTGTGGTACAAATCACACACTTTGTGTCTTTTGTGGATTATTAGGTTTAGCAAAACCAGTCCCAACCTGGCCGGACCGGACTAGCCCGTGGGACAGATGGGACAGGACAGGTTGTCTCTGTGAACTCGAGGAAACCAACACAGTCTGCGTGTAAATCAGAGAATTGTTGTCTTCAGTCTTCAATCTGAAGCTTTTAATTTGATGACTAGTTTATCAGTTTGATAAACATGAACCATAACTGGTACTTGTGAATGTCCCTAATCATCTTAACATTTATATATATATAAAAATTGACTCCATTTTATCTGAATTTGGGCTTTTCACTCAGAGATGCCTTCAGAAGGGGTGGCAGATTAGGGTCACTGTTAATCTTGCGGTGTCCCCAAAACTGAAAGTCATAAAATAATTTCAGGAGTTTTATTATACTGTTGTTATATAAAGGCTATTAAAATACTAGATCTGTCAATAACAACTGTTATTATTTCAGTTAATCTAGCAACTAACTTTTTGATTTGCGTAAATATATTCTTCCAAATATCTCACTCAATCTTCTTCATTTTATTTTTAACGGCAAACGTTTTTCATTGGTTGAATCCCACGACGTAAAATGTCCTCGAAGGCTTTAAATTTAAAACATAGTACCATCACCCCAAACTTTAGCTTAGTGTGTGTACAACTGACTCTCTTATAGCCGTGTTCAAACTATTAACTGTTAGGTTTGATTTACAAAAATACAGATTTTAATGACACAAGAAACAAACATTTGTTCCATTTGTCCCTTCAAAGCCTGTGTTTGTGTCTGAGCCTCTTTATATGACCATTTACAACACTTTATCTAGAAGTGGAGATAAGATCGAGTAACAAAATGCTCTCGACTGAACTCCTTTTTTCTCACAGTACTGTAGTTACACTTGCCCGCTGTTTGTACTGGCAACAGAAGGAGAGCACGCACCTCACAGGAGTAGCGAAGTACGCCAAAAATGTTTCTTGTGCTGCTGAATAAGGCCTTGAGAGTTATATTTCCTTGCACTGTGATTTCTTCCACGTTCCTATTTCAGACTTTAAGTTAGACAAATAAAACTCGACTGGCTGCAGTCCATTTTCACTTAATGGCTCTAGGCTGCTTTAAGGTTTCTGCTGAAATATTCACTTTACTTTGTGGCCGTAACGTTGTAAAGGCGTACTGAAATTTCATCTTTACTATCTTAGTAATGCAGTTCCTGCTGTAACAGAAACCATAAGAAGGATCTCAGAAGCTGGGTGGGATTTCTGGATGTTTTATTGGTTTTTAGTTTTGTTGTGCGGTGTGTTCATGGACATCGTATTACCAAATACAGAGAGCTTTTTGACTGTTTGGAGGTTATCAGCGAATCAGTCCTGGAACTGGTTCATACACATATTTTGCATCTTTTGTGAGCAGGAAAGAGAAATATTGTTCAGTGACTGAAAATACTTGTGCAACCATGTTGATCGTTTGCTGCTAATGAAACATTCCAGTGAGCTGACTTCTTTGGCTAAGTCTAAAAATGTAATCTAGGCTGTCCCATAAATTTGTGATCATCAGAAATTGTGATCCAACGCACCCTGTAGGATAGAATACCATCTGTTTTTGTTGTCAGTACTGGCAGTCTTGTCTTCTGGGAGGTACGGGGTAGGTGTGGAATACACGTTTAGTTTTCTGCTCATTTTATACCCAAGATCAGAAAGGTTAAACTACAACTAGCAATTACTGTAA